TTCTCCTGCCTTAGCCTCCCGAGTAGCTGGGACTACAGGCGCCCGCCACCTCGCCCGGCTAGGTTTTTTTTATTTTTTAGTAGAGACAGGGTTTCACCGGGTTAGCCAGGATGGTCTCGATCTCTGGGCCTTGTGATCTGCCCGTCTCGGCCTCCCAAAGTGCTGGGATTACAGGCTTGAGCCACCGCGCCCGGCCAAAGACATGTATTTTTAAAAAATGAAAGAAAAACAGAGAAAAGACGAGGCAAGCATAAGAAACCTAGTGGTTTTCATTTGAAGGCAGTGGTTTTTAAACCAGACCATTTTCACAAAAGGAATGAGAACATCTCAGTATTATATATTTGATAAAATTCCCAAATAAATTTAGTCACAATAAAACAAATTTGCTTATGCAGAACCCTTGAAATACAATGTATGTAAAAATATTTTTACTATTGTGCTCAAGAATAGAGATTTTGAGGACAATTCTTACATATTTAAGAAGAAGGAAAAACTTTAGTTAATACTCAGACTTTATTCAACATCAGAAAATACACAATGAGAAGAAAATCTACAATTTAAATCAGCTTGCAGATACATTTACTTCTGGATCACAACTTACTCAGCATTAGAAAATTCACACTGGCTGGGTGTGGGTATTCACCCTGTAATCCTAACACTTTGGAAGGCTGAGGGCAGGAAGAGGCCTTGAGTCCAGGAATTCCAGACCAGCCTGGGCAACATAGCCAGACCCTATCTCTACAAAAAATTTAAAAATTAGTCAGCTGTGGTGGTGCACACTTGTCCCAGCTACTCAGGAGGCTAAGGTTGCAGGGTCCTTTGAGCCGAGGTCATAGTATGCTATGATCATGCCTCTAATTAGCCACTGCATTCCAGACTGGGTAACATAATGGCATCCTGTCTCTAAAATAAATATATAACAAATAAGAAAATAGTTGGCTGGGCGCAGTGGCTCACACCTGTAATCCCAGCACTTTGGGAGGCTGAGGCAGGAGGATCACCTGAAGTCAAGAGTTCGAGACCAGCCTGGCCAACATATGGTGAGACCCTGTCTCTACTAAAAATACAAAAAAATTGGCTGGGCATGGTGGCGTGTGCCTATAATCCCAGCCACTTGGGAGGCTGAGGCAGGAGAATTACTTGAACCTGGGAGGCAGTGGTTGCAGTGAGCCAAGATCACGCCGCTGCACTCTAGCCTGGGCAACAAGAGCAGTAACTCCGTCTCAAAAAAAAAAAAAAAAAAAAAAAAAAAAAAAAAAAAAAAATTGGCTACATGCAGTGTTTTTATCACATTAACAGTCACTTTTTGAAAAGTCATCTGGCAAAAACAACTGTTAACATTAGATGACAGTGACTTTGACAAAGCCCTATACTACTAGGGTACAAATGACTGAAGAGATTGGCACAAAATGAGGAAAGGAGCTTCGTTTCTGAGAATACCAGCTCCACTCAACACTAGATGCTCTCCTGCCTATGGAAATCCACAGGGGCAGTTGCAGAGAGTGCTGCATGTTTCATAGTGTTGGGAGAGGACAATGAAAACTAACATTTACCAGGTGCCTGCCATGGACTATTCCTGGGCTTGAGGCTCTAAAGATGTTCCTTTGAACAATAACAGCAGCCATCTAGATTAGGTAGTCCTTAGTTATGGCAGAAAAGAGGGGACTGAGGCCCAAGGAGCTAGTAAGTGGTGGATTCCAGTCTTTTCTTCCAACGGATTAGTAGACACCAATGGCCCATGCAGAGTGTTTCTTGATTTTTGAATACTAACATCATGAATAGCAAATGCTGGCATAGCAATAAGGGTGTGCCATACATCTGGTCACATTCAAATCATCAGTCCCTTCTCTTTCTGCATAAACACTTGATCTTACAGAATCAGGATATGGAGAGATGCTGGCCAGGGCCATAGATGAGGCGCCTCTGCAGTTTGCAGTTTCTCTACTGTCCTCAGGACACTGTCATAGTATTAACCCTTTTCTGCCTAGTGATAGTGACATCTGAAAAGGTTATCAAATCACCTCTCCTCTAGAAATAAATAGGTTAGTATCTAAACCTGGCCATCAGTAACAGATGACATGTAATTCTGAATGAGCAGTAATTCACTGCTCACGTGTCCAAGGAAAAACAGGCTCTTTTCCTGGGACTTGTACAGGAGGCTTGGAGAGGGTCACTTCCCAGGGTCTGGCTGTATTGAGTTTGCAGATTTGGGTTGTAACTCATCCAAACTATCTGGGGAATGCAAGTTAACCTGACAGGAGAAAGAGAAAGAGGAAAAAGACTCATGTTCAAATGGAAATTAAATACGTGTCTGATAGATTCCACAAATGTCTTGGACACATCTATGAACAGTGTCTGGCACCAGCTGGCACCAGCTGGCTCCAGCACATAAGGGTTTGCTGTGTACCTGAGGGAGACTCTGTCATACTTGACCCAAGGAGGCCTGCTTGGTGACCAGGCAGGCATAGTAAGCATGGAGAACACACTTGGTCTCTTTCTCCTAGACCCAGACAGGAAACAGAAAACTTTCCTCAAGGCCACTACAGGCCTTTTTAGCGGGCTATGTTACCACTGGCTGGCATTCTCAGAGAAAACACCTCTCCGCTAAAAAGTAAAACCCAGATTCTCCCAGCGTGTGTAAGATCCTAGGAACCGGAGCCCCTCCATTGGGTAGAGAACAATCAGAATGAGGCTTTCTTCCCTCACTTCGGGAGGTTGCTGGCTTTGTAGCCCGGCTCCAAGGCCCCTCTTCCAGGCCACCTCCCCGACTGGGCCAGACCTCTTGCTCTTAGGACGCTCCGAGGGAGGCCTGGGGCCCCGCTCCGTGTGGCCTGCCTGGACCCCAGAGGGCCGCGCTCTGGAGCTGCCACTGATGTCAGAGGCACGACTCTTTTTCGTATTCCCAGGAGCGGAAGACAGAAACAGTGGCCTTGGGGACAGAGGGGTGGGAACACCTCACATCCACTGCAAGATAAAGAAGTGGAAGAAGGCATTTCGGCTTCGGAGCTGGCGGGGACCTGGCCACTGGAAAGCCCGCGCGGAGTTCTCTCGCCTGTCTCCGCCCAGGTACGCCTCCCCGAGCCTTTTGTACGACTCACCGTTGTTAATGGTCACACATTCTTTCTCCCCTTAGAGTTAACACTGTCATAACCATTGAAGCGCGGGCCGAGGAGCACCATATCGGCCATAGCCTTTGTTGCCCCGCCTTCAAGTCACTGCGCGTGCGCATTGCTTTGACCTCTCGTTCCCAGGGGGCGGTAGGAAGCGGAAATGCTCGGCTGACCCGGAGGGTGGCGCTTCGTTCACACTGGCTGTGGTCTTCCGCCCCTGAGGTTTCAGGCTCTTGGCAGTGAAGTAAGCGGGAGGAGGGTGGTGATGGTTTCCATAGGGGAATGTGGGGGACGGGAGGAATGACGGGAGTTTACGGGGCCGTGGGGTCATGGGGCCACGGGTGAGCGCCCTTGTAGGGGTTGAGTGACACGGGCGGTGGGCGTGAGTGTTGGGGGCGAGGTTCGGGGCCAACGACTGACTAATTGATTGAGTCACTCAGCGCTTGTATCCTCACCCCCTGGTAATTGCCAGGTACTCTTGCAAATGTTTCACATTAATAGGAGCCCTGTGAGGTGTTACGATGATTATTTTCCTGCTATAGAGAGAAAACGGCACAGTGTGGCTTGGCAGCCTGTCCAAAGTCACGTAGGTAGCAAACCTGAGGGAGTCTTTTTCTTTTTCTTTTCCTGTACTTTGTTTATCATGTTTATTATTTCCTGTGTGTCTCTTCTTCCAGACTAGAAATCTGGAACTGGGAATTTGAAATTTTGTTCAGTGATGGATTTGCAGCACGGAGAACGGGCTCATGGAAGGCACTCATTTCTTCAGTGAATGAAAGTGGCACAGCAGGTGATCAGTTGGTTCCAAAGCCCGAACTCAGGAAGGCAGGGTTTTCGTCTCTGGGGATAATTGAGCTGTGCATGAATGTTAATTCACTCTTAAAGCTAGAATGAGGCGTTGTCCCTCTTCTGTTGGGTTAAAACCTTTGGGTTTTACTCAACTTCACTGCATAGAAGGGAGCATAGGTGTTGCTAATTGAATCTCCTGTGGTCATTGTGTTTCAAGGGTCAGAGTGCAGACCTGAGACCACTGCTACACCGACTTCAGACTCCAGTTTATCTGTGCCCCGGCTTCCTCACTTAGTCTCAGAAGACTTAGGCTGAGGCCCCAGGAGGAGGTGAGTTCCCTGGGTCACAGGCAGAGATCTGGTGCTATAGTGATGGCCCCAGCTGGGGTGTGTTTGTCTCTGAATCCCTTGGTCCTGCCGCCTTGGACATAAGAGAGGTACGCTGAGCTGAGGCGAGTTGGAGGAGAAGCCTCAGCCCAGAGTCCAGACCCAGATCCTCAGGGCAGAGAAAGGAGGTTCACAGGACAGCAGGTCCTAGAAGAGCTGGATCCTTAGTGACCTTTGTCCCTCACTTCAGCTGAGACAGAGCAAACTGGCTCAACTTCCAGGTGCCATCGAGGACCATATGACAGTGCAGTTTGATTCCTACTGGAGGAGGGACAGGTGAAAGTCACAGGTGAATGGATGCATGGGTACCCCCGCCATGGGGCAGGTGCCCTGCTGTAGTGCCTGCAAAGGTGGGATGAGGCTAGAAAGGATCACAGCCAGCCACAGAGGATTGGCCTCTCCTAGCACACCTATTTGTGCACCCCCGTGCTTCCTTCTCTTGCCATTGGCTTTTTCTGAATTTGAGTCAGCCCCACATCATCAACCAGGCACCTGCTTCCAGGGGAAATGCGAATGTCCCTTCATCCTGACCAAAGTGCAGAAAATATATTTTTAGTTTATAGAATTTCAGAGTAGTCTCTAGGTACGCTGTCATCCAGCTCTGCTGCCTTATTTAGAAGCTTAATGAAACCAGGTCTGAGGACATGACTTGTTAACCTACACGGAGCTGAACCCTGTTGTCCTGATGGTATCACAGTAATTGCTGAAGTAAGAAATGGTTACTCTGCACAGAAGCTCCTTGCTGGAACTTTCTTTTGAAAAACTGCCAAAGAAGGAGGAGCATGGCAATCAAAATGCAAATCGTGGGAAAGGAGGAAGTGGTGGGGTGGAAACAGGGTAGGTGGCCAGTTAAAGAGGCGGGTGCAGGGGAGCAGGCACAGTGGTTTTCAACCCCTCACAGAACTGACAGTGCTGGGCTGTTACCCACCCAGCCCCACACCTCTCCTCCCCTGCAGCCCTCTGAGCCCTTGTTGGCCTCCTTCCTCCAAACCACATCAAGAGATCCTACTCATACACACTTGCAGAGGGTCTTTTCACCTCTAGGGCTCTGTTTGATAAGAATTGATTTTTAATAATTTTTAATTTTTGTTTTATTAGTAATTAATTTTCATTGTCAAAAATGCAAATAAACAAGAAAATTAAAATCACCAATCAATGTAACCAATGTCAGCATTTCAATAAATGCTGTTTGAGATCAGGCGCTGTGACTTACGCCTGTAATCCCAGCACTTTGAGAGGCCAAGGCGGATGGATCACCTGAGGTCAGGAGTCCGAGACCAGCCTGACCAACATGGTGAAACCCTGTCTCTACTAAAAATACAAAAATACTTAGCTGGGCATGTTGGTGCACGCCTATAATCCCAGCTACTTGGGATGCTGAGGCAGGAGAATCGCTTGAACCCAGGAGGTGGAGGTTGCAGTGAGCCAAGATCATGCCACTGCACTCCAGCCTGGGCAAAAAGAGCAAAACTGTCTCAAAAAAAAAAAAGGAATAAATGCTGTTTGAGACTTCATATTTGTACATATTGCTTAACAAAAATGAGATCACACTGCAGTTGCTGTGCCGGAACCTCCTTTTAAACACCCAGGAACTGAAAACGAAGTTCAGAAACCATCTTTAAAGCCTGTGTAGTATGCTTGTTTTGCACGTTTCATATTTTTTTACTGAGTCCCCTTTGCTGCACATTTAGTTGCTTCCAAGTTTATTTGGGGGTTTTTTGTTTATTTTTGAGCCAGGCTCTGATGTTTTCACACAGGCTGGAGTGCAGGAACGTGATCATGGCTCACTAACCTCGCACTCCTCAGCTCAAGAGACCCTCCCACCTCAGCCTTTTGAGTAGCTGGGACTACAGGCATGCACCACCACGCCAGCTAATATTTTTAATTTTTAGTTTTGTAGAGACAAGGCCTTGCTATGTTGCCCAGGCTGGTCTTGAACTCCTGGCCTCAATCAATCCTCTCCTTCAGCCTCCCCACATGCAGGGATTATAGGCACATTTTTTTAGTGGAAATGACAACAGTAACATTTTGCATCTTTGTGCTAGGAATAGAACTCTTGAGGTAAAGGAGATGTTAAGTTGTTACTGGTTTCTGACATTTAGATGACCTTGGACACAAGTCATGCATCTGTCCAGTAGGGGAGACAAAGTTTCATGTGCAAAACCCACATGATCTTAGTAGCGAGACAGTTTCATGTGTAAAACCCACATGATCTTAGTAGCAAGACAGTTTCATGCGTAAAACCCACATGATCTTAGTAGTGAGACAAAGTTTCATGCGCAAAACCCACATGATCTTAGTAGCATCCCATGGGAATAGGCTGAAGCTACCAGGCCTTATTTTTAGATCATTCTTCCCAGGGTGCAAAGGTAATTATTATTAGGGTGGTGATGATGATCTTATGTCTATACCCACTGAACTCAACCTTTCTAATTCTGTCTTTATAGATCTCCATCCTTTGCCGGAGCACAACAAGATGGCCATGTCCCAGGTGAGTTCTAATGTACCCCTACTTTTTTTCCAGTGAAATTGAGGCAAAGTTTGGAATCTATATAATACACTTGAAAATACCAATTATCCACTCTTCTCTGGCTGTTTTCTGTTCAACTTGTCCTCAGCCTCTGGTTTCTCTAATCCTTCCCCTCACCAGGAGAGAGGAAAAACAGAAAAAGATACTTCTCTCTACTTGTTCTTCCAGAAACTGTACCTCATCTTTTCTTCTCCTTCTCAGAGAAGAATTGTTTAAATACATAGATTCATCTTGCTTTTTCCTCTTTCTTCACTTCTAGATCACTTGGTCTTTTTTACTATGTTTAAGAGAACATGTTTGTGTATAATGTTTTAATGTACATAGAAGAAACTAGTAGCCAATAAAGTTTCTATTTCTTCTCCCCCGGTACCACATTCCTCCTTAGAGATGTCCACTGTTAACAGTTGGTTGAAACTGTGAGGTAGATGCATTTATGTCAGTTTAATGAACTAAAAACATATACATATGTATTGTTTTTTATGCTTTTACACAAATGGCATCATATTCACATACCTATCTTGCTTTTTGAACCTGATTATATCCTGGGTGGTGTTCCTTGTTAATATATAAAGATGGTTTTAATTCCTATTTCATAGTACGGATGTATCATGTAACTTTTTTCTATTCACAGATATTTAGGTTTTTAATTTCTGTGTGTGTATGTGTGTGTGTGTGTGTGAGTGTGACAGAGTTTCACTCTTGTTGCCTAGGCTAGAGTGCAATGGTGCGATCTCGGCTCACTGCAACCTCTGCCTCCCAGGTTCAAGTGATTCTCCTGCCTCAGCCAACCGAGTAGCTGGGATTACAGGCATGTGCCACCACGCACAGCTAATTTTGTATTTTTAGTAGAGACGAGGTTTCTCCATGTTGGTCAGGCCAGTCTCGAACTCCTGACCTCAGGTGATCCATCCACCTCGGCCTCCCAAAGTGTCGGGATTACAGGCATGAGCCACCATGCCTGGCCTAATTTCTTTTTACTATTGTAAACAGTGCCTCATGAACAACTTTCTCTGTATCTGCTTGCTCTGTAGTACCAGTGTTTATGGAGGTTATACCTGGTAGTCAGGTTTTGACTGAAAGGTACTGAGACTTAAATTTGCCCTCCGAAATCCTTCATAATTACTCCTTTCACTAAATGTAAAGACCAGATAATTTCTGTGTTCCAGTTTTCCAGGCTATTAAAGATGAAAAGGTACCCAGTTCATTTTGTGAAGCCACTTAACCTGAAATTGGAGGAAGATGCTACAAAAAAGAAAATTGTAGACCAGTTTCCCTTAAGAACATGGATGTTAAAATGTAAAAATATTCTGAATAGAGCATTAATAAATTGGACATTTAAAAGTAATGCATACACATAGTAAAAATTCAAATGAAAGCTTTGTTCAAGAAAAGGCAAAAAATAATTTTCCCATCCTCAAGATTCCTTCATTTTTTGGTACAGTCTTTCAGAGAATATGTATGCTTACCCGTATGGATGTATGAATCTTTTTTTTTTTTTTTTTTTTTTGGACACAGAATCTTGCTCTGTTGCCCAGGCTGGAGCGCAGTGGCGCAATCTCGGCTCACCGCAAGCTCCGCCTCCCGTGTTCACGCCATTCTCCTGCCTCAGCCTCCCGAGTAGCTGGGACTACAGGCGCCTGCAACCACGCCCGGTTAATTTTTTGTATTTTTACTAGAAACGGGGTTTCACCATGTTAACCAGGATGGTCTCAATCTCCTAACCTCGTGATCCGCCCACCTCAGCCTCCCAAAGTGCTGGGATTACAGGCGTGAGCCACCGGGCCCAGCCAGGATGTATGAGTGTCTTTGTTCACTCCTGTGTGTGCTAGCTCTTACTCTCACATGCTTTTTCTCTAACACATTAGAGCTCATTCTGGTCCTTTTGGTCTTGTCTTCATGATCGTTCCACTTTACTTGTATTTAGTTGTCCCTAGGGTTTCTTAGTGCAGCACTATTGTTATTGTGGTTCTGATCATTATTTGTTGTGGCTGCTTTCCTGTGCATTGTATGTATAGCAGAGTCCCTGGCCTCTATCTCTGCTAGGTGCCAGTAGAATCCCTCCTCCAGTTTTGGCAACCAAAGTGTCTCTAGTCATTGCCAAATATCCCCTAGGGGAGAGAATTATCCAGTGTTTAAAACCAATAGTCTACCTTGTTTGCAAAAGCAGCTGCTTAGTATTTCATTGCATGGGAATGCCAATATTTATTCACCTTTCTCCTAGTGATGAACATTCAGGGTATTTCTAGTCTTTTGCTGCTATAAACAGCATAGCAATGTACAGTACATTCCGTTGCCTGCATGTGAGTATGTCAGATGTGAGATTTCTAGGTCAGATTCATGTGCATCATGGATTTTGATTCAGAACTGTCAAATTGCCCTCCAAATAGAATATATTGATGTGTACTCCTAGCGGCAGTATATGCCTTTTCCCATAAGTGGGCAATCACAGTGCATTATCCAATGCTTTGATTTTTGCCATGATGCAGGATGAAAGAGTGGTTCATTTTAATTCACATTTCCTGAAATTAGTGTCTTTTCATATTTTTTGTTTCTTTGTTTTTTGGAGACAGGGTCTCAGTCTGTCACCCAGGCTACAGTATGGTGGCATGATCACAGCTCACTGCAGCTTCGACCTCCTAGGCTCAGGTGATCCTCCTGCCTCAGCCTCCTGAATAGCTGGGACCACAGGCGTGCGCCACCACACCTGGCTAATTTTTGTATTTTTTGTAGAGACAGGATTTTGCCATGTTGCCCAGGCTGGTCTCTAACTCCTGAGCTCAAGCGATCTACCTGCCTTGGCCTCCCAAAGTGCTGGGATTACAGGTGGGACCATTGCACTGGGCTATTTGTTTTCTGAGACAGAGTCTTGTTGTGTTGCCCAGGCTGGAGTGCAGTGGTGTGGTCATGGCTCACTGCAGCCTCAACCTCCCAGGCTCAAGCAATCCTCCCACCTCAGCCTCCCAAGTAGCCGGGAATACAGGTACATGCCACCACACCTGGCTCATTTTTCAATTTTTTGTAGAGTTGGAGTCTTACTGTGTTGGCCAGGCTGTTCTCCAATGCCTGAATTCAAGCAATTCTACCACCCTGGCCTTCCAGTATGGTGAGATTACAGGTGTGAGCCACTGTGCCCAGTCTTCTTTTCATTTTTTTAACCACCATTTGTACTTCTTTATTTCAATTATTTATTCTAGTAATTTGCCTCCTTTTCTCTTGGGTGTGGAATTAATTTGATTGCTGGATGCTAGCTCTTTATGTTAACTCAAGTAAATAAGATCTCTATCATATATGTTGCAAATATTTTTTCATACTTCATTTGCTTTGACTTGTCTTATTAAGTTTGGGGAGTGGACACTTATATTTTGTTAATGTGGTCTAATTTCACAATCTTTTGTGACTTCTGGATTTTCTTTTATTGCTTATATAGGATTCTGTGAGTCAAGATTATAAAAATGGCATTTCAGTTATGTGGAAAAAGTGGTTACTGAATGGTGGTGACACAGCTGAGTCTCTGTATGGAAACAAAGACTCTTCTATATCATATAAAAGTGAATTCTAGATTGGTTGAAGACCTAAATATATAGTTGAAAAATTGGATACAAATTTAGGAGGATATATGGATAACTTTGTGCAGTGCAAGAAACGTTTTTTTTGTTTGTTTTTGTTTGTTTGTTTGTTTGTTTTTGAGATGCAGTCTCCCTCTGTGGCCCAGGCTGGAGTGCAGTGGCGCGATCTTGGCTCACTGCAACCTCCACTTCCCGGGTTCAAGCAATTCTCCCACCTCAGCCTCCCAAGTAGCTCAGACTACAGGTGTGCGCCACCATGCCTGGCTAATTTTCGTATTTTTAGTAGAGACAGGGTTTCACCCTGTCGGCCAGGCTGATCTTGAATTCCTGACCTCAACTGAACTGCCCGCCTCAATCTCCCGAAGTGCTGGGATTACAGGTGTAAACCACCGTGCCTGGCCCTGCAAGAAACATTTTTAATGAAGATGGAAAACCCAGAAATCATAAAGGGAAATATTGTCAGGTTAGACTGCATTAAAATGTTAAAAACCTGTAGAGTGAGAAGACATATTTGAAGCTGAGAGAAAATACCTTTTATGCATATAATACACAGAGGATTTATGTATGTAATATGAACAATGATTTAAAAAACAAAAAAAATGTGGTAGAAAGGAGTCAAAAAGATAAGACAGGCAATTTAGAAGAAAAAAAAAGTGATGCTATTTGAATGGATATTTACTTTTTCCAGTTTTCAAGCCAGGAAAACAGGGCTGATTTTTATTCCTCCCTTTTTGTTGTATTCCAACAAATGAACCCAGTCTCAGTCCTCTTCTACTAACTGTTTGCCTTTCAGATATTTTTTGTTTTATATAGATACAAAACCACAAAATTTTGCATGGGTTGTTTTTAATGAAAATATGCTCCTACTATGCTTTTCTGAAATTTGCTGTTTTTGTTTGTTTGTTTTTTCATTTAGACAAAAGTATCCCAGGCATCCTTATGTGTGAGTCAATTTTTTTTTTTTTTTTTTTTTTTTTGAGATGAAGTCTTGCTCTGCAGGCTGGAGTACAGTGGTGCGATCTCGGCTCACTGCAACCTCCACCTCCCGGGTTCAAGAGATTCTCCTTTCTCAGTCTCCCGAGTAGCTGGGATTATAGGCTCGCGCCACCATACCCAGCTAATTTTTGTATTTTTAGTAGAGATGGGGTTTTGCCATGTTAGCCAGGCTGGTCTCAAACTCCTGATCTCTGCCTCAGCCTCCCAAAGTGCTAGGATTATAGGCGTGAGCCACCGCACCCATCCTGTGTGAGTCAATTTTTATCATGACAGTTCCAGAGTATAGATGGAACAATTTATTTAACTACTCTCTCGTCCTAGTCCATATGCAGATTATTTGCCAATCAGGGGTTATTTTTCTCATAAGCAATGTCACCTGGTAATACAGCTGTTGTTCTA